TTGCGTTTTTCCGACTTTTAATCCTTAAGAATGCTGGAGGGCCCAGAATTTTCTAACTTAATTTTTTAAGTTTTACGATCCACGCTTTTCAACTAAGATATATATGGTAATTTTCAAAAATTTGTTTTCGAGTTTTGATATTGTTCGAAAAGAAACCTCTAATCTGTAGGATAAAATGGTACATAAAACATAAGCAATGAAAAAAAAATACTGCAGGTTGAAAGCTGCTCTGAGCTTTTTTAGATAAATTTTTTTAGAATTTTTGTTGCAAGACTTATGTTCCAACCTAATAGTTTGTCAAGACGAGGTGATTCATTCCTGTGCCACATCGCTGGCTGAGCCCGCGGCACAGCCGGTACAGTCGGTGAAGTCTTCGCTCACACTGGGGCCGATGCCAGGCAGAGTTTTCTCTACAGTTCCTCCATCAGCAAGAATACCAATGCCAGATGGCGCTCCTTCGGCACTGCATCCCTCAGAAGCACCAGCAGACTCACGAGCATCAGGCCTGAAATTAAAGTAGATGGTGTTTAAAATCATCTAGAAGAGTAGGTGATCGACTTCTCATTTGAAACCGGGGCGTCGCTAGACAGTGTTTTCTCTGCAGTTCCTCCATCGCGAATCCCAACGTCAGATGGCGCTCCCTCAGCACCGCTTCCCTCAGAAGCACCAGCAACTAACTCACAAGCAGTATCTGACCTGAAATCAAAGGGTAGAAGCTGTATAAGAGCCATTTAGGAGAATAGGTAACCGACTTTTCACACGATTTCGGGCCCAGGGTAGACATAGTTTCTTCTGCAGTTTCTCCATCAGTGTGCGCTTTCTCGACACCACTTCCTTCAGAAGCACCAACCAAATTATGAGCATCTCCCGAGCTGAAATAGAAAGTTGATTATTTGAAGTCATTTAGAAAAGTGGGTGATCGGCGTCTCATACGATATCTCGATATGACATGCTTGTCTTCAAGCCAAGCGATTTGGTATTCTACAGCTGGGCAAAACATTTCATACAAATCCATCTTTTGAGGTATTGGCCCCCAGCTGGTCCAAAAAATCTGGCTCGAACCGTACCTTTCTGACAACCTTACTTTGTGAGGAACCTAAGCGACTTAAGAGACGCTACTCCTCCGCGGTAACCAACTCAAAACTTCGGCTTAATGCTGTGTGTATCTTTGAAAAATAACAGACAGTGTGTTTTGGCTTACTAGCTGTTCAAAGCTACCGCTTGCTGTTGACGGCTTTCGCTGAAAACTGACTGAAATATTTACAAACCTACTGTTACTTGCAGTTTCACTGGTTTTTGAGCTTTCTATTTGCTACAAGTTTGATTTGAGGCTACAACACTGAACAATGTATCCTATATTATATGTCTCTGTGAAATTCTAAATTGCTTCTGGAGCTTCACAAAACACCTCACAATAAAATTTGCGTCTTTTGATACAGACAAAGTCTTCGAACGTTAGAAAGTTACGGTTTGGGCTGGTTGGAGTCGAAACCACAAAAAAATCATACCAACCGCCACTTGAACAGTTTATCTAAGTCTCCTAAATTTTCTACTAGGTTTCCCATGGGTCTTTCAGACTTGTTTCTTCACCGCAATAAGCCATTTGCATGAATGTGCTTGTAGAGAGTCGATGCCTGAGCAAATCAGAGGTCCCTAGCTTCTGAGCTAAATCTGATTTTTCGGACATGAAAGGAATTTTAAACTTTAGCTTCAGACTGTGGGTCGAACCACTTGCGTTTTTGGAAGATCATTTTGTAGAGCCTGTATTACTCTATTGGATTACATGCTCCATCAGAGTTACTTATGGGACGACAGCCTAATAGATGTGAAAACCCAAGTATCCAGATTGACTGGGTACTGCTTCTAAAGAAAGCACTAATCAACTATCGTATGGGAAAGCCGTCTCGAAAAGAAACTACTTATCTATCGCCAGAGGGAGCAGAAACCGCTTGCATGTCTTGAGCAGCCATTTCCACATCAAGGTTAACCATCTCCACGTCGCCAGCACCAGCTACATCAGGTAATTCGGGTAATTCGACAGCACTTAACATGAGACTTTATCGAATCAATCGAGTCTCAATCTACTTACTCGTCTTCTGCAGGTTTTGGTCCTTCTTCTGCAGGTTTTGGT